CACAAGGACCCGGATTTGATTCCCAGTACCACATACCATGCCAGCCCTGGAACCCCGGGCACACTGTGCTGGCCATTGAAACTAGGTGTGGTGGTGCACACCTGTAATCCCAGTGATGAGGGGCTCAGACAGGAAGATCACTATGAGTCCAAGCTACGTAGCAAGACCCTGTACCAAACAAGAAAAGATTAGGGAAAAGAAATCCCAGCAGGTAAAAAGGAAATAAAGAATCATGTTTGGAGATCTACCCTAAGAAAGTTAGCTCCACATGCAGAGTTACAGCAAATGACTTCAAGAGCACATAAAAGAACAACCTGAGAGTTATGGTTATTATTAATGTGGGCAGCAGCAAGATAAAAGGGACTTATCAGATGAGCTCTGGAGCTGGGCATGGTAGTGCACTCAGGAAGCTGAGGCAGGAGGATCACCAACCAGATGAACATGCAGAAGAGGCTGATGCTGTCCACTATCTGCAGGGCAGGGAGGCAGGAACATCACAGGCTGGACTGGCCTTTTGTTTGGGCTGTGGCCACAATTGGCTCCAGGCCCTGGCAGGCAGCCTGAGCCGGTACCTCTACACCTGCTCCTTGGGGCACAGTGCGGTGCTGCTCTACTTGGGCTCAAACTTCTCCTTTCCCATCCCATCTCTGTGACGAGAGAGCTGTTAGAGTTATTTTCACCATGAAAGAGAGGGCAGAGCCACAGTGTCGGGTCCTCGCCCCCTCCCCGTGCCCATGGCTGACTTCAAGCATTATTTTCCATTCTCTTTTCAGCTCTGCTGTGCCATCTTTCAAACAACCAAGGAACAGCTGTGTGTGGTGGTGCACACCTGCAATTCCAGCTGTGTGTAAGGTTAAGGCAGCAGGTCTGCAAATTCAGGCCTATCCTGGATGACTTAGTGACCACCTGTCTCAAAATATAATTTTTTTTTTTTTTAAAGAGACTTGGAGAGCAGGCCAAATTGCTCAGCAGATTAAAGCACCTGCATGTAGGTGCAGGGGCTGGGGGTTCGATCCCCAGGCCTGCTGTGCCGGCCCCACCCCCAGGGCTTGCTGAGATGGTGATTGAGACTGGGTGTGATAGCGCGTGCCTGTAATCCCAGCACTTGGGTGGCTGTAAACAGAAGAATTACTATGAGTCTGATTTAGTAGTGAGCCCCTGAACACCCTGTAACCAGTCCCTAAAATACAGAAGAAAATAAAAAAAAAGAAAAAAGAAAAGAGGCTTGGGATGCAACTTGTGTCAAGGCTTTGGGTTCAATAACCAGGGCCGTAAAAACCAACACAGACACTCCACCGTCGTAGCCAAGTTCTCATGGCCTTGCCTCAACCTCAGTGCCTCTTAAATTATGCTGCCCTGCCACATTTAGAGCCCTTCACCCCCTTCCTTTGGCTTCAGCACTGGTATCTGAGTGGCTTTGCACACCACAGGCTGGGAGGGCCACTGCGCAGGGCTCCTGAGGCCCCTGCACCGTCCTAGCTTCAGGCTCATCTCGCCACAGTTTGCCTTTCCCAGTTTGGACTCCTGTCATCTTGCTGGTTGCTGTATTGTGGCTTTCCTGGACCTCCCCTCTGGGACACATACTTAACCAGGTGTACTATCCTATAACTATCTTTGTTTTTTAAGTTTAAATTTTTTTTTTTTTTGGAGTGGGGGCTACAGGGTCTTGCTACACAGCTCAGACTCATAGTGATCCTCCTGTCTCAGCCTCTCCAGTGCTGAGATACAGGTGTGCACCACCACACCCAGTTTTTGTGGCCAGCACGGCATGCACAGGGTTCTGGGGCCAGTATGGTATGCAATACCGGGGATCAAAACCTGTGTCCTTGTGCTTGATAGGCAGGTACTTACACCGCTGAGCTATCTCCCCAGCCTTAAATTTTAATTTTTATGAGTCAATGTTTGTAGTCCATGTTTACATGTATTGTGGGAAGCTGCTGTGTGTGCATAACACATCTTAATCCTGTTTATGTTCCCTTTCCATCCCTTCTCCTTTCTCCATCTCTTGGTCCTCTTCCCTTTTGCAAAAGATTGAGCTTCCTACTTTCTCTTATCTTTTATTTTGCTTTTCATTTGTACTTTGGGTTTCTCAGATAAAAGAAACCATGTGATATTTAAGCTTATGAGTCTGATTTATTTCACACAACATTATGGTCCCAGGTGCACTCATTTTCCCACAAAGGACTCGAGTTTATTTTCAGGGCAGAGTGGAGCTCCACTGTAGACCATTCTGTATCCATTCATCTGTGTTTTTGTTTTTTGAGACAGAATACAGACATTAGTTCTTCTGAAAAGTCTCTGTTCATTTTGCCCATGTTTTCACTAGCCTTTTTACCATGGGAGGATCTAAATTTTTGAAAGTTTTTTTTTTAACTATTGGGTCGACAGGGTCTCACTACGTAGATCAGACTCATAGTGATCCTCCTGTTTTCAGCCTTCCAATTGCTGTGATTACAGGCACGTGCCACCATGCCCAGTCTAATTTTTGAAAGTTTTATATATTCTAGACACTAATCCTTGGTCTGAGGAGTAGCTGGCAAATTATGTTCCCATTCTGTAAGTGCCCTGATCACCTTTAAACCCTTGGCCATAGTATCTAACAGATAGAAGGCATTTGATAGAAGGGCCTCTTCCAGACTTTCTGAGCCTTTGTGGAATAAAAATGAGAGCAGCAAGGGTGGGGAGCCCAGGAGGGAGGGCTGCTAACTGCAGGCGCAGGCGCAGTGCCTACCCCGCATGCCCAGGCAGCTCTTCTGACCCAAACTCCAGCCTCACACAAGCCGCACATGTGCTCCCTTTATGCAGGCTGAGGATGCTCTCATGCTTTGAAAGGGGTATGAAGAGAGAAGAGTGCTCAGGGGTTGCAGGGCTGAACACTTCCTATGCAGCCTGGAGCAGACAGTGCCCCTGCTCTGTCAGGCCTCATCACTCCAGCACCATCTCTTCCTCACTCACTTCAGTTGGGGGTAGGTGCAGGCTCTGCAGCACAAATGCATCTCGCACACTTGCTGCCCTGTGCTGGACTCCTTGGAGGCACTGGGATTGCACTCTTGTCTAGCTTTGGAAAAGGAGATAGATGAAGACCACACATCAGTGAACACAAAGCTTCCAGGCATGTGGCATACATCTCTAATCCCAGCACTTTGGGGCTGAGGCAGGAGGATCACTGTGAATCTGAGGCGAGCTTGGGCTACACAGTGGATTCCAGGCCTGTCTCAACTACACAGCAAGACCCTGTCTCAAAAACAAACAAGCAAACAAAACAAAAAACACAGAGTCCATGCTCGCTGAAGAATTTGAAAGGCTGCCTGCCCACTTATTTTCTAGCCACCTGGACACATCGGGGGGATCCCATCTGAGGCACAGGCTGCAGCAACAACCTGCTCTTGTCCAAGATTGGTATTAGGGATGAGGGCCAATGCCTAAAAATGCCCAGGTTCAGGTGACAGAAAAATGATACAAGGAGGTAAAACAATGACCTACTGTTATGTGTGGCACACTGGTTTAAAAACCTAGGACAAAAGCAATGCCAATATTCATACTGTGATTTGCTGCATCAGTTTCAGAAATCCATCTTAAGGAAATGAAACAAAACACAAGGTAATTATGGTCACACAGCTGCATCTGGTTGCACTCTTTACAATAAACAGATCCCAGACACCAAGGTCACCAGCCAGCAGATGGCACCCAGGAGGCATAGGAGATGCAGCAGGGCCTGGCAGAGCTTCCTATCTCTCAGCCTTTACAAGGCACAGGAGAGCAAGCCAACATCTGGAGGCCTAGGCCCGTTCATTCTGAGGAAGAGTTCAGGTCTCAGGCCTCATCTCTAAACCCTGTGTGAATATATATATATATATATATATATATATTTTTTTTTTTTTTCCTTTCTTTTTAAGACAGGGTCTCACTATGCACCTCAGGTTGGTAATGAGCTTACTTTGCAGCCCAGGATGGTCTAAAACTTGCAACGATCCTCCTGCCTCCTACTGAGTAGTGGGATTACAGGTGTGTGCCACCAGGCCTAGCCTAACCTGTACAAATCGATTCCTACTCGTCTCAATCCTGCAGCTGCCATGAGGACTCCCCAGGTATCAGAAGCCAGCTATGGAAAGCAAAGGAATTGTGATCAGCTGTGCTGGATGTGCACCACCTGCAGCACATGTCACATCCACCCACTGCTGCTGCCGGGAGAGGTGGGCAGCGTTGTAGACCCATGGCCAGTGTAGCTTTTCGTAACCTCTACTCCACTTCATTTTTGGTAATGTGGTTTCACACTAAATTGCTTTCATACTAAAAGATGTGATTAGAAGGGTCTTGCTGAGCTGCTAAGCCTCTTGGGTGGTTACTGAATTGAGGCTATCACTGCATTATTTTTCATCTGGTATTCTCAGGCTAAGCCTTAGAAATGTAGGACTATAGAAAATCAAATCCAAACTCACTAATGTGCTGTATTGAGTTGGCTGGGGGCAGAATGGAGGCCAAAGACCAGAATGTAAAGGAAAGAAACCTGGAGAAGCCCCAAAGTTGTGAAGGAAAACAAAGCAAAACATGGGGCAGACTCCAGGCCCTGGCTCGCTGCGCCTGGTGACAGGGACATGTCTCTTAGTCCTTGCCCATACCGCTCCTCACAGGTGATGGCTACCAAGGCTCTGGGTGACACAGGTGCACCCATGGCCCTGTGAGCATGGCCAGGTTCCTGCCGGGGGTGAGCTCCTTGGCCAGCCACAGGCCAGCCCAAGCCCCGAGGACACAGCAGTCCCGCAAGGTACAAAACAGTCATCTGTTCTCACTGTGCCATGGAAGACTGCCCCCACTAGAGCTCTTCACACAGCACTAGAGTCAAGGACTCACCCTGCCGGCCACCTTGATCAAAGGTGGATTCTTGTACACACAGGTGTCCTCAGTGTACACTATGTATGAACAAGGGCTCAGCAGAGTTATGAATGTACCACTTGCCAGAAGAGTGTGAGGGAAGCCAATGACACAGGTTGGACACTGACTCTGGAGTAATGTTATTTTATTTTTTTTTGGTTCGAGACAAGGTCACATTATATAGTTCAATCTGGTCTTGAAATTACTACGTTGACCTGGAACTCAGGGTGATCCTCCTGCCTCAGCCTCCCGAGTATTGGGATTATAAGAGTGCGTCACCACACCCAGCTTGGAGCAGTTTGCAAGCAGGAACAGGGTGGAGAGAAGCTGAGGAAGTTTAGTGCCGTGGGGACTCCCGTCCAGATGAGGGCTGCGGCAGCCTGAACTTCGAGAGGTCCAGGTTCAGGTCCAGGAAGGTGTATGTGCTGTAGTCGTGGTGCTGCAGGTTCTTGTAAGTGGTATTATCAAATGGCTCAGTGGGAATGGGGGCCGGGGCAGACTCTGCAGAGGGGAGAACAGAGAGCTTTTTCAGACCTATGCACACCCAGCCCTGTCCCAACAGTCCCCAAACCCTACCTGCTACCTCCAGCCCACCTAACTAGGAAGGAAAGCCCAGGAAGGTCGCCATCGCTGCCAGAGCTAAACAAAGGCATTAGCTGAAAAGCTACTCTAAACCTATGGCCTTAGATGAAGTTACTACATGACCACCTACAACAAAGCTATCTGGGACTCTGCGGAATGTTCTCCTGGCCCTAACTCTGGCCCTGAGAGGTCTGGAGGTTACACAGCTCCTACTGGAGGCGGACCCTGAAGTTCTACTGCGTTCTGGTAATGAAACACGAACATCCTCACATCCCATCCTGGACAGTTTAAAAATACTTAGACCTGTCATGGAAGGTCTTTCAGGCCACAGAGAGATTCACAGGTAGAAGGACTGCTGACGTGTCTATGCCAGAAATAAGCCATGTACAGAAGAGCATTTTTAAAAGCAGGAGCCAAGCATGCCTCTTAAGTCTCCAACACAAGAGAAGTAGACAAATCCCTGACTGTGGTAACAACAGTTAAGGGGAACTAGAAATGACATGTATGGTTTTGGTTGAACTTTTTTTTTTTTTTTTAAAATTTTTGAAAAAACGTTGCTACCTTCAGATTCATAGACAAAGATATTTAGTTTTTCTTTCAATGCAAAAAAATTAAAAGCCATATACCCAAGCCCTTGGTAGATTTAAAGCAAGTGTGGGTACAAGCCAAAGGAACACTGCTGTGTGGTGTGTGCCACCTGATGACAGAGGCTGCAAGGAAAGCATGCGAGGTGCAGGCTGGTCAGGTCCCTATGACCCCAAACTCTTGAACATGGGTCCTACGAGCTGTCTCATTGTCTACTGATCCTTCACAGAAACAACTTCAGCACATTCCCACCCTCCGGATCAACACTAAAAGCTGTTTTTATTCTTTCGCCATGTTAAACAGAAACCTGAAAACCTCTTGCCAACCCTATCAAGCTCAACACCTCAACGTGGTAAGGGCACCTTCAGAGTGGGCTGTGTACCCACAGCTGGCACAGGAAAGGTGGGAACCGAGGCAGATGGGCTTGGGTCTTCACAAGCCTTCTAAGGCAAAACCAGCGCTTGAAAAAAAAAAGCAGGGTGGTTGCTTTCTTTTGTGGTACTGAGATGGAACCCAGGACCCTGCTTACGCTCAGCTCCTCCCCAGCTGTGAGCATTTGTTTCTTCAGAAAGGCCTGCGATCCAAGTCTCAAGACCTGTATTTCTATTCTGAGGGTTCTGGCAGGCCTGTTCACTTGAGAGAAGGGCAGAAAACGGCAGCATGAAGGACAGGTCCGGAGGAGTCTGGCAGTTTTGCATATTAATGAAAGAAGGAGCAAATGGCAAGAGAAGCAAGCACATAAATTCTGTTGATATCACGTAACTGGTAACAACCCTGCATCAGATAATACAAATTAGGGCAAAAAGAGGCTTTAGGGGCCCGGGGAGATGGCTCAGTAGAATAAGTGCTTGCCTGGCAAGCGCAAGGGTCTGAGTTCAATCCCTGGTTGGGGGGGCGGGGGGAGGCTTTAGAAAGAACAAAGAAGCCAGGTGTAGTGGCAGACCCCATCTCCCAGCACTTAGGACGTGGAAGCAGGAGGCCCCAGCCTAGGATAGAGCAAGGCTTCATTTCTAAAAAGGACAAACAAAAGAATGAAGAGCAGGCACAGGGAGGAGGCTTTGTTAGTGAGGATATATTGTAAAGAGATATGGAGGAGCTACAAATTCTAAAATTAAAGACTTCCCATTTATGTTTTGCTGTGACCTATCTAGAGCACTTGAGAAAATGTATCAGGATAGGAATTCAGTTTCCTTAAAAGGCCAGTTGAGGACATCACTCTTGAAAAATACAGCTGCCCACTGTCTTCCAGGTAAAGAAATGTTGGCTACCTCTGTGAGGCACTCACTGCGTCAGCACCCCCCATGGACTTTCTCTCCTTGACAAAGATGCTACAAGGGGTCACCCAAGTGTCACCCTTCTGGGCTGGGCTTTGCCTCTTGTAGCTAAACAGGGACTTCCCCCTTCCCCTCCTCTGAAAAAGCATGGGCAGGCCAGGGAGATGGCTCAGTGGAATAAGTGCTTCCCTGGCAAGCACAATGGCCTGAGTTCAATCCCTGGTTCCGCAAAAAAAAAAAAAAAAAAAAGGCATGGGCAGCTAAGGTGGTGCATTGCAGAGTGGTGATGTTAAACTGCCAGGTTCCAAAAATGATACTAAGCCCGGCATGCTGGCACATGCCTTAACCCCAGCACTCAGGAGGCTGAAGCAGGAGGATCGCTTTGCGTTCAAGGCCAACCTGGGCTACACAGTGAGTTTTAGATTAGCTTGAACTACATAGCGAGACCCTGTCCCAAAAAACCAAAACAAACAAAAACACCTGAGAATATACTGGTTAAGAGCGGTGAAGTGCATGATCAAGGGCAGAAGCTTTCATTCCAAAAGAAAGCTGAGAATGTTTTAGGGTTTTGCAGGTAGATGTGTCCTGTCATAGCAAGTATACCCTATTCAGCTGGGACAGCCTTAGAAGACATTTCCAGTGCACAGCCTGGTTATGGCTATGCTTCCTTCTATGTACACAGAAATTCAAAGGTTCTTAGGATCTAGCTGCCACCCCAGGACAGGAGGAGTGGAACCAAGGCAAGATGTACCCTGTGTGTCACCCAGGGCCTGGAGGGGTGGGGCTGCATCCTCCTTGGGCTTCAGGCCTGCTGGCTGCACCTCTTCCTCCTGTACAGGGACTGGACTCCAGCTTCTTGTGGTCCCCTGATTTTCCACGATCTCCTTCTGGGCCTCTGAGTGTTCTCCTCCTATCTGTTTCCCAACCATTTTTTCTTGGACCCAGGGAGAAGCCAGCTTTCCGCCAGGCTCTGGACCTTGGGGACCAGGGCATGTAGCCTCCTGGGTCCCCAGCATGGGGGATGAACCATCTCCTGGCCACGTGGACAGCTTGGCCTCTGCAGAGTCAGGTGAGATTCCTTCCACTCCCAGGGGCTTCCAGCTCCCTTTTGCCAGTTCATTCGGCCTGTGAGTTTTCTGTGACTGCTCTTCCTTCATACTCTGCTTCAAAACCTCTCCCTTGGCTTGGGATCTGGGCATTGTACGTTCTGTTGTGACCTCTCCTCTGCCCTCTAAAGGCTTGGTGGGGCTTCTTTTCTTCTTCGGCTGAGAGGCCCTTTCTGGGTAGGTAACATCTGTGTGTGGTTTCTGTACCTCATTCTTTTCTTTTGCAGATGCTGGGACTCTAGGGGTTCTGTTCTCAGAGGGCTGGATGGCCTCTGGGCTTGGAGATCTTCCCTGGCCTTTGCTCCCCACTTGGGGACCAGCTTCTGGGATGCCACTTTCCTCATCAGACTCAGAGTCTGAGGAGCTGGATGAGGAGGAAGATGAGGATGAGGATGTGGATGAATCATCTGTCACCTTGGGGGCATCCTGATGAGCTGCTGCGCCCTCACCCTGCACTCTGAATGGAGCTGGAGCCTTGTCAGGAAACGCTACCAAAGTCTTTCTTGCCAGTGCTTTTGGGAGCCCTTCCTTCGTGAGCAGCTTGCGGCCACTGGGCTGAGCACCAGCTACCACCCCGCCTCTGCTCCCAGCTGCTGAGGAAGAAGCTGGTGGAGGAGAGCTGGGGGGCACCACAGCTGCAGGGTGGGTGGTTAGTAGCTTGCCCCTCTCCTTTGGTTCCTCTACATCTGGGAAATGGCATAAAGAGGAACATTATTTGCAATACTTCATAAAACAACTTTAAACCATTAGACATCTTATGGACACTGCATTGCATACCAATGCATTATTTAATGACATCAAAGTAAGAACCCTAAGCCCAGTTCCAGGAAAACTTCCCAAGTGAAGGCCAAGCCACTTGGGTGGGCTGATAGTGAGAAGTGGCAATGCTTTCCTTTGTAGCTGAAATTTTTGTTTTATGTTTTTGAGCCAGGGTCTTGCTATACAGTTCAGGTTGGCTGTGAGCTTACTTTGTAGCCCAGGCTGATCTTGAACTCGTAACAATCCTCCTGTCTCAGCCTCCTGAGTGCTGGGATTACAGGTATATGCCACCACACCCAGAAGTAGCTGAAAATTTTAAAGATGGAAAGTTTTTTTTTAATTATTATTATTTGATTTATTTATTTATTTTTGTGGAACCGGGGATTGAACTCAGACCCTTGCACTTACCAGGGAAGTGCTTATTCTACTGAGCCATCTCCCCAACCCCGAAAGTTTTTTTTAAATAACCAACAGCAGCCTAGCACTTGGGAGGCCAAGGCAGGATGATAATCTTGAGTTCAAAGCCTACCTAGCAAGACCCTCTCTAAAAAACAAAAAGAAACTAGAAGGAACACATTTCCTCCAGTTTTTATACTGATGGTTTCATTGATAATAACTTTTTAAAACTACTTCACCAAATTCAAGATAAACTGAGGCCGAGGAGATGGCTCAGTAGAATAAGTGCTTCCCTGGCAAGCGCAAGGGTCTGAGTTCAATCCCTGGTTCTGCAAAAAAAAAAAAAAAAAAAAAGATAAACTGTAACAGATATTTTATAGTAAATACTTAAGTCATACAATTTACTGAATTCCTAAAATCACCAAACTATTTGGTGCTTTTCAAGTTTTTATTTTTATTTTATTTTTTTATGTATTTGGTACAAGGTCTCACTATGCAGCTTGGACTCTTAGTGATCCTCCTGTTTTAAGCCTCCCCAGCATTGGGCTTATAGGCATGTGCTGCCACGCCTGGACTCATTTACAGTCTCAGTACGGGGGGGTGGGGGAGACAGTGTGGCCCAAGTTTTTTGAGGGTGCCAGGAATTGAGCTCAGGACCTTGCCCTTGCCAGGCAGGCACTGGGCCACTAAGCTATATTCTTGGCCCCCATAGCTATTCAAAAGGTTTAGGGCTTGCCTGGTAGACCACCAATAACCTGGATTGGGCTTAGGGTAGGTGTGTGTGCAACAGAGAGACAGGGTAATGCAGTTCCTATAAAAGGAAGAAAAGTCTTTCAAAATCTCACAGCTCATTTGGTGATTTCTTCAGCCAATTAAACAAAAGTACTTATCAAAAAGGTCCAAAATAGTTTAATATCATACATATTACTGGAAACAGACCTTAAACTGAAAAAAAGAAAAAAAGTGCTACTGTCACTATGTAGGCTTTGAACTCACTATGTAGCCCAGGATAGCCTTAAACTCATAGCAAGTCTCCTGGCTCAGCCTCCCAAGTAGTGGGATTACAGGCGTGAGACACCATGCTTGGTCCATCTTAATATCCCATAATCACTTATGAAAAAAATGAAATCAAAGGTCTCCCTATGCAGTTCAAGCTGGTCTTGAGCTCACTCTGTAGCTCAGGCTGGTCTTGAACGCACAATGATCCTCTTGCCTCGGCCTCCTGAGTGCAGGATTATAGGCTTATGCCACCATGTCCAGCTTCAAATAACATACTGCTCAGAGCTAAATTTCATTACATTTCCTTAGGTATTAATAAATCTTTTCCAACATTAGGAGAAAAATAGGTCAAGTTTTTTGTTTTTTTTTTTTTTAAATAAGTGCTTTTTCTTAAATAAATTCAACATTTCAAATCTAAAGCAAAAAGTTGAAAAATGTAACAGATAAACAGATGCTACACAGAACATCTCATTCTCCTGGCCCAAAGTAAAACTTGTCTTCCCACTCCCCATCCCACAGCACCACACAGAATCCTAGGTGTTTTCTGAGGCTAGAACTCATGATGACAGACTGAAAGGACACAGCTGAAGAAAAGTGAGCAGCAACAGCTCATCGGAAGCACCTGAGGCAGGGAAACACACTGCAAGAAGCAAAGGCCAGGGGCTGGAGAGATGGCTCAGTGGTCTAAAGCACCTACTTAGAACAAGCTTAGCAAAGCACAGGGACCGCGGTTCAATCCCCCAGCACCACATGCCA